GAATGCCTTCATGTAAAGGACTGCAAGTGTAAAAGTACATACAGTAGGAAAGGGTTAACTCAGTCCAAATGCAGTATTGGCAAAGATTTGTCTTCCTTTTGAGTGAACAGAGAAGTCCTTTGACAGAAAAGATTAACTGCAGCCAGTTCACTGAATGGGCAATTAGGCTTGAATGCACAAATAAGGTTTTATTTCAAGAAGTTTCAGAGAGAGAGAGATACCTGCACAGTGTTCACCTTATTGAGAAGGGAGTCACAGTGTCATTGTCTCCACTCCACACAGCTGTGCAGCAACAAATCTCCCTGTACCCTGAGGAAGACGCAAGCAGGGATTGGTAGGAACACTGCACAGAGCATTATCTCCCAGCTGCCTACAGTCCAGGGTTCAAATACAGCCTTGCACTGTCATAGAAACAGTACACTATCAAACAGGGACCAAGGACCCCAGCCAGAGTAGTAGGTATCCACTCCTCCTCATGGACCAGCTACCACAGTATTCTGATTTATTTGTTGACTTCATTTTTGTGGTAGAGAGCAACATTTCTTCATACTCAAAAATGGGATGGGCCTGTAGAGCGGGTAGAGCTACATTTTTGTCTTTCTGATTTCTACCTATTTACATTCTTGCTGACATCCTGCCACACTTTTAGCTTCTCTCATTCCTGTCTTCCTGATTTCGAACTATTTCCTTTTTCACAGAGACTCTTTTCTACCTTGTATTACTACCACTGTAGTGTCTCCTTTTGGCCTTCCCCCCCACTACACACACACTTTCTTCCCCCTCTCTTTCCTGCTTCTCGCTGACATCCTGCCACACTTTTAGCTTCTCTCATTCCTTGGAGCCTCAGAAGACCTATGCCTATGTGCCCAAAAGTTTGCTGACTACTTTTTTCCAACTACTTAGTTGGTCTAATAAAAGATATCACATCTACTCAAAGAACCTTGCCTATCTTCTCCTTTCATAGCTTTTCTCCCCTTAGTCTTTACTTCTTCTGCCTCTCACCCCAGAAGAGAGCAGAATACATATCTCCAGTACTGGCTGGATATGGGTGTGATTTGCTTCAAATAGACTTGCACTGTGAGCTGAGCTGAGCTCTGGAAAAGCAAGCATAAAAACATTTGGCCATGATTTGGAGGCAGCCCTTCATCAGAAAGATGTGGAGTGAAGGAATTGGAACAGTGCCTTTGTACATCTCAGTGCACATTTCAAATCTGGCTTTAGCTGAGTGTATATTTTAGGAGATTACTGTCTCATGGAATTGCCTCACAATAATTGGTATGATGCCCATGCAAAGCAAACATACTGGTGTTTGTTTGTTACAAAGACCAACCGTGGGGTTACATGAGGGCATCCTGTATACCCTATCGTAGTTTCCAAAGTCTAGACTTTGAACTATGTACAAAGGTGTTGCTTAGAGTGTGAAACTCTTGGAGACATACATGATTTTGAATTGATATAGTGCTAGAAGTTGATGCATAGCCTCAAACTCCACTCCTACATACACTCTTGACTTTGTGTGTATGAGTAATCCCATGGAATTTAATAGGATTAGTCATAGTGTTTGTAGGATCAAGGCTAGAATGTGGCTGAGTTGGTAGTTCTGAGTGTTCGGTGCTTTAGATCCAGACCGGATCTGTTTTACTGACCTGGGTCATCCAGGCCACACTTTTGCCCTGGCTCTGGCTGTGGTGGCAGGGCTTCTGTCCATACTGCTGGTGGAACTACCTGTGCTTTTCATAGTTTCATAGTTTCTAGGGTCGGAAGGGACCTGAGCAGATCATCAAGTCCGACCCCCTGCCATGGCAGGAAGGTATACATCCAGCCTCCTCTTAAAGACCCCCAGGGTAGGAGCCAGCACCACTTCTCTTGGAAGTTGGTTCCAGATCCTAGCCGCCCTGACCATGAAGTAGCGCCTCCTGATATCTAGCCTAAATCTACCCTCTGCCAGCTTGTGACCATTATTCCTGGTCACTCCTGGTAGTGCTCGGGGGAACAGGGACTTTGCTGTCACTGGGGCTAAATACAGACATTCAATAAGTCCGAGGTGGAAGTGGTTTAAGTATCATGCTTTATCAAAGTATCAAAGCGGTCTAGATTAGATCAGGATTGAACAGAACAGACATGCAGTGTTTGGTGGGAGGGGTTTGGAGCCTGCCTGCATTGGCTGAGGTCAGCAGCCTTGGGGCGGGGGGGAGGCTCTCAAAGACCTCCCAGCATGCCCTGCAGGCTTCCCGAGCACAACCAAATGAACAAGCTGTCCCTAGAGTGCACTAGCATTCTTTCCCCTGCCCTTCCCACTCACGCTGCTTTGTCAGTGACAGGAATCACAGAGATTCAGAGAGAAGCAGGGCTGGAAGGAACCATTGGGTCAGGCTGGGGATGCTCAGGGGCTGGGATCCGGGGGTTGTGGGGGGGCATCTGCCAAGTGCCAGCAGGTGCAGGCTGGGCACAGGCATCTTCCTGAAGCTGTGATGGGTACATGGGGGCTCAGGGCGCCTGTCCCTGTTATGGATCAGGGGTGGGGAGGAGAGGAGTTCAGGACAGAATCACTTGGGGCCAGGCTGGACACACACACACACCTCCCCCTGCCCCTCAGCTCTGCTCCCTGCAGAGAGCCAGCAGCAGTGGCAGCAGCATGCCATGGCCCCGCCAGGCCCTGTACACACAGGGCACAGCAGATTGCAGCCACCACATGCTTGCTGTGGCTTCCCTGTCCTGCCCTACCTTGCTGTCGCTACCTGCCAAGGGGCCTGTTCTTTCCATCTGTGGAGCAGGGGCACTGTATAATGCTAGAAAAATACAGAGATCTAGACACCCTCTTCCCTCTCTCTCCCCCTCTCTCAGCATCTGGCTGACAGCTCAGAGCAGCCAAGTGAGCGAAGTTCCAATGCGCCTCTGTGCAAGGGGAGGGAGTGGTTGAGCCCACTGAAACACGCGGGATGCCAGCAGAATGCGACCTACCTTGACTCATGATGGGACATGGTACAGAAGTTCGATAAAGTATTCTAACCTAAAGCACTTCAGTCTGATATCACATCTGTCCCGAGTTAATCTAGAGTGGAACCTGCCATTTTTACAGCATTCTGTGTGCCATGAACATCTGTTCAGTTATGACTTCAGAATGCTTTCTTCATGCTTAATGCTTGATAAGTGTAACTTCTTGGGGTGCAGGCTGCTGCTGTGGGAAGCCCTGCCAGGGACAGATCCCAGGCTCTGGCAGTGGTGGCATAAGGACACACACACATATGCACACTGTCGTGGTACTGAGCTGCAAACATGAGAGCTGGGTGTGGTCTGTGGGCACTTGAGAAGGAGGGAATGTGGCCCTCCAACCAATTTGAGTTTGGTACCCCTGCTTTAGATTCCTATTATTAAATCCTCTCCTGCAATTTTTCCTCACAACTGTAATTATTGTGTGTATGAAGAATGAGCGAAGGTATTAATACTGTTACAGATTATGACATCTGTTCTATTAATTACTGATTGTTAGATCCTGAAAAACAATATAACACATTCAGTTTTAATCCTAAATGCTCACTGAATCAACCACAAAATTATTAAGACTGTCATTCTTCACTGCTAGGTGTTTAGGGTAATCTTATAACTGCTACCATGTCAGACAGTTTTCTAAATTTACGTAAAAAAATAACAGATAGCAACCATGCTGTGTACTGAGATACTGTTCCCACAATAGTAGTGTTTCTTTTGGGTGGGTGTATCCTCTTCACAGCTCTCTATTCAGTATTTTATGTTGGCAGCAATAAGCCACTGAGAGGATAATCATTAAAGCCAAATTTCAGTTGCCCATTTTTTGTCATCTTCAGTCAATCTCCAAACTTCATGGCTTGTAGAAGGAACCAGGCATCTCTTAATTTAGTTAACTAAGGATATTATGTCAAGGTGAAACTTCTGTTTCTGTGTGTTAGAATTCCTTATGAAGACTAAGTTGCTTGTTTACAGTCTTTGCCAAATAATTGAGTGCAGTTTCATTTTCTCCCTTCACTGATTTCCTTTTGCTCTTTTTTCATTTGAGTTAAAAGTTCCTCTCACTTTTAAAGCTTTGGGTAAGTCAGCCTTGTGTTTCTTTCCTTATTTCTTCCTGTTCTGTGTCTTGTTCCATTTGTTGTACATAAGCCCCTTGACTAACTGCTTCCTATGCATCTATTCACTCTGGAAAAATAACCCATTACTGATATAACTGTCAGCAAACAGTCTCTCCCCTCCCTGCAGCTCGCTAATGGTGTTTGAAAATAACTATCTGCTAACATGTGGGGTCTTGGCATCTGTAGGTGGGTGAGCGTCTGGCTGCATGGGGGTGGGTGGATGGATGGAAAGACCTCCACAATCTTAAAATTTCCAGGGATTTCCAGGAGACATCCTGTGATTCTGGCAATGCCCCACATCCCACCCAAGCTGTAAATTTCAGGGGTTCTTGACCTTCATCACAGAGGCAGCTGGCTATGCCCCATGTGGCCCTGAAGCGGGCAAAAAAACCTTTTAGCGTGCCAGGTGCCCATGGACCAGGCACCTGCTGGCAGTGCCCAAGTTGCAGAGGCCACAGGGTTGGCTCCGTGCAGGCCCTATGCCAATTTCCTGGCCCCTGCCATGCAGCTTCTGCTTGCATGGGAGCCATACTGGAGTCCAGGTGGTAGGGTGCCTGGCCCTGGGGTTCCTTGGGCCTGTGCCCACACACTGGGGGTTCTTCTGGTCTCTGCATCTGGCCCATGGGGTTTGTGATGGGGTTGGGGAGGTATAGCCCACGGATGAGGGTGGCTTATTGCTGGGCCTGATGTAGGGACAGAAAACCCTTCCTCTTGCCCTCCCCTCCCAGCTTATGGCTTGCAGCTGGCCATGATTTGAATAAAATTGTGTGCAACAGTCTGCCTGAGCAAAGAAACCTGTACCTAGGATTTTTGAGATTGGCTGCTGTTACAAACAAGAAAAAGTAGCCTCGGACTTCTATTATTTCACTTAGATGGATATTTCACAAGGAGGCCAGGATGGCGACTAGTGCTTCAGGTCACTGTGTGATTAGCAGTCACATTAGATATCCAGTTCCTCCACACAGATTGTGGGATACAGCCTTCTGTAAAATGGAAAACATTGGTTCGTGGAACAGTGTAAGTCAAGTCAGCATGTATAATGTTATTCACCTTGACAGACTGCTTTTAAGACAGGAACACAGAAAAACAAATATTGTGTCCTTGTTGGCAACTACTAGTGCCTGAACAGGCTGCGTTTCTACTTGCTAAAAATGAATGGGAACAAAATTAACAACAGAGAATATCGTTGTGGTTCAGAAGTGCCAGTGGAGAGATCTCTAAACTTTGCTGCCAAGAAAGTGAGATCTAGCAAAGGAATTTTAAAGCCCAGGAAATAAAACTGTAAGAAGTGTCCAATTCTCAGTGCTTCCAATTTCCTACACGTGGGATGAGCTTGATGGAGGTCTAGCTTGGGGGAGCACATGTTGTCTCATCCTGCAGCCAGAGGTGGAAAATTCAACCAAAATCTGAATGTCTCTTTTAAGTGGTTCAGTTCACAGTCTGACAGTCCTTGGTACCAACATTAACGAAGGAGGAGGGGAGTTTCAGGGGAGAGCTGGGGACAAGAGCCCTTAGAGCCATTACAAAGACACAAGGGCTTCAGGAGGGTGGTCCTGTATATTTATTGGCTTCTTAAATGCTGTACATTAGGGAATCTCCTGGGGTCAGAAGGGAAAATAAAATCATTGCTTTTCTGTAGGCAGCAGACTGGGAAGGTAGGGAAAAAATTCCTTTCCTCCCATTGAAGGATGTCAGGTGTTTCCTAAGGGGAACACCATAGACTCTGTCCCAAAAGGTTTTTGTTGGATTGCTGCGTGGCTCTAAACATATTAAGGCCAGCAAGACTATTGGATATTATTATTCATATAGCTAGGAAAAGTGTCTACAATAACATGGTAAGTAATAAAACAAACAACATGGGAGCATGACAGAAAAAATTCCCAGGGCTAGCTAGCCTTTGCATCTATCTATGGGACTCCCAGCAGCATACCTAAACTGCTGTACAGGCGGTCCTTGACTTACAACATTTTAAGTTACAGTGTTTTGCACTTACAGCGTTTATAAATTGACACCCTATTTCAACATTACAATGCCAAATTGGACATACAACACTTGATCCGATGCAATGCCATGCAAGTGAACAAGTTTGCTGCATCGCTCATCTCCCTGGAGAACATCTGTCCAAATTTCCTTGGACACTTTAAGAAAGCAGACAAGACTTCAGAAAAAAACTGGAGCCAAGACTCCTGAGAAGACTCCAGCCAAGAACCCTTCAAAAAGTCCAACCAAGAGCCCTTCAAAAAGTCCAGCAAGGTCACCTCAAAGAAGTCCTTTCAAATCAATATGATTGCTATTTACAATATAAATATATTAATTTAGCTATATTACTCATCTATAAGTGATCAAGTGCAAAATTCTGGGGTATTTTTGGTGAAAATATGGTATCAGGCCTTGGTTCAGGAACCAATCCCCCATTTATAATATTGTTTCTTATGAGAAAATTGGTTCTGAGTTGCAGTGTTTTGACTAAAGACGCGTTTTTTAGGAACCAATTGTGTCATAAGTCCAAGGACTGCCTGTAACCGACTGTCTGAAACAGTTTTCTATCCAGTGCACATTGTTCCGAACCAATTCTGTGAACAGAATTATTAGAGATTGGCTTTAAGACATGAAAACAGAGAAATACTCTCTGCTTCTCTATGGACTATTGAATGTATCCAAGGTTTCTGGGACTTCAGGTCTGTGAGCTGGTCTCATGGGTTTCTGGTCCTCTGTCATGTATTGATCACAGTCAGTGTAAATACTTCTCATAATAATCTACATTTTACACATACATTTGGTTTCCCCAGACAAATTGGAAAATAGTGATGCTACACATTAGTATGTATAAGTGTGCTGATGTACATTTGGGCATGTTCAAGTATACGTTTTATAGTATGGGAGTTGGGGCTCCTGTGTACACCAGGGAATCTGTAACAGTAATTGAAAAGCACAATACAATTTGCTAATGCTACAGAACTACTAAGTACCTTAGTAGAGGCTGGGGTTAGAGGGCATTTTCATCACCAAACTTATGATGCCACTCTGAACCATATTAAATAGCCAAGCTTTAAACACATTTTTTTGTCGAAAGCCTCACATCTATTAGGGAAACTGCCCATTGCCAAAAGTCATTGCAGATGAATCAGTTCTTAAGACAGGTTAACTGAGCAGAAGCAGCCCTAATTTCTTTGAGCCTACAATAGCAGCTGAACCACATTCAGCACTTGTTCAGCTTCACCCATAGCAGTATGCAATAAGAGAAATTTAACAATATGCAGTTTTCTTTGTGTGGATGGCTCTATTCTGACCTGAGAGAGGACACAGGCCTGGGGACAGAGGCTTCACTGACTCTTGTCCATGACAGCCTAGGGGCAGGCCAGCCCACGGCTTGGGTAGAGCAGTCGAACTCTAGCTGAGGTTAGAGCTCCACCCTGAGGATGAGCAGGGTGCTGCAAAGCCCCATGGGTTGCCAGCGCAGTATGACCTAACATGAGTCATAATGGGATCTGGTACACATGTTCGATACAGCGCTTTTACCTACACCACTGTACTCTGATACCTCATCCATCCAAGGTTCTCCACCATTTTTACAGTGCTCTAGGTGCCCTATCTGTTCAGTTATGGCAGTAGAGTGCTTTCCGCATGCTTATCATGCAGTAAGTGTAATGTCTCACCTGGTCTATAGGGTTGAGGCCATAGATCAGTGATTCTTAACTTTTTAGGCTTGAGGCACTCCTCACTAGACTCAAGGCATCCTTTTGAAAATCCCAGTTCTTCCTTTTTTTCTGTTTTTGAGAGCGGTTTTTTTGTTTGGTTTTTTTTATTACAGAAAAATACTAGAGCAATCCTTCTGTTGCAGAGAACTTAGAAAGCCTATAACAGGTCAGAACAGATTAACACTGTGGATTTTATTTGAAAAATGTTGGTTTATCTTGTGAGTCATATTTGCACACCAAACTGTACTAAGATAGCATGGCACCTGCTGGTTTAAAGGATCCCAAGGCACCCTAGGGTGCCCTTGCACCCTGGATAAGAATCACTGCTGTAGATATTTAAATGCTTATTTCTTATATGTCCGAATAAAGATGATGTTTCCTGTGAAATGCTTAGGTGAAAAATTGAGGCCAGCTTTTTAAAACCGAATCC